CCCAACCAAAAAGTAGCCAAAATCCAAGACCAATTAAGACCTTTCAATTACGATATAGCAGCCTGACAATTAGCCCATCCCCACAAAATGTATAAGGCTCAACCTCATTTATTTGAACTTTCCGAAAGCAGAGAAAAATGATTAAATGCCGTAATTACCAAAATAGAAAAAAATCAGCAAAAATTAGAGGAAACTAAAATTCAAGAACCCGATAAAGTTAAAAGAATTAAGCGAATGGAACTAAAAATAGATAATTTAAGTCTAATCAAAAAACTGTTAGAGGAAAGGTCTATTTTTGAAGACAGTTTACAAACGGGGATAAGGTGATACGACAAGTTTAAAGAAGATAAGGCTACCCAAACTGATTTAACTCCACAAAAAAATAACGATTTAGAACAACAACAAACTATTCAAACAAAAGACCAACAAATTAAAGAGTTAAAACAAAAATTAGCCCAATTAGAAAACCAACAGCAACAAACCGAACCGAGAACTGAAATTGCTCCGAGAAACAATTAAAAATTAAATAATAATGCGAAAAAAAAGAAAAATTGAAAAACACCAACAACCAACCGACCCCCGCTTCCCTTCTCTCCTAGTAAGCCAATTGATTACTAAGATAATGCTGAAAGGGGAAAAAGCCCAAGCCCGCGGAATAGTTTACCAAGCCTTTGCTTATTTAGAAAAAGAATTGAAGCAAGACCCCTTAGTTATTGCTGAGGAAGCAATTAAAGAACTTAAACCAGAATTAGAGACCGAAAAAATCAGATTAGGAGGAACCAGCCAACTAGTTCCCAAAAAAGTTAAACCCGAAAGAAGTTTTTGTTTAGCTTTAAGGTGGTTGGTAGCCGCTGCCCGAAAGAAAACCCAAAAAAAAAGACGAAAAGGAATTGGTCGACCAATGTTTTATTGTCTCGCCCAAGAGATTATGGAAGCCAGACAAAAATCCGGAGAAGCTTTCAAAAAGAAAGAAAATGAGCAAAGAAAAGCAATCGAGAGTATGGCCTTTGCCTCACTAAGTGCTTATGTTAGAAAAAAATAATAATCATTTAAGCAAACTTCGCAATATTGGGATTATGGCTCATATTGACGCTGGAAAAACCACTACCACCGAAAGAATTCTCCACCACGCCGGAAAAATCCACAAAATTGGTGAAGTCCACAAAGGAGAAGCCCAAATGGATTGAATGACCCAAGAAAAAGAAAGAGGAATTACCATTACTTCGGCTGCTACTACTGTTTTTTGGCAAGGTCAACAAATCAACATTATTGATACGCCAGGACACGTAGATTTTACTGCCGAAGTAGAAAGGTCTTTACGGGTTTTAGATGGCGGAATTGTCGTCATTGACGGAAAAGAAGGCGTAGAAGCCCAAACCGAAACTGTTTGGAACCAGGCTGAAAAATACAAAATCCCCCGCCTTATTTTTATTAATAAAATGGACGGTGTAGACCATGTAGAAAATCGTTTTGCTGCTTGCTGCCAAAGTTTAGAAGAAAGATTATACGCTAAATTACTCATTTGTCAATTTCCTATCGGAGAATACCAAGGAATTGAAGGAATTATTGACTTAATAGAAGAAAAAGCTTGTTATTTTCAAGGCGACGACAAAGAAAATTATCAAATTAAGGAGATACCTACCCATTTGCGCGAAAAAGCCCGAATTCATCGGCAAAATCTATTAGAAAAAATTATTGCTTATGACGAAAAACTAGGCTTAAAATATTTGGAAGGCCAACCATTAACCGTCCAAGAAATTAAAAACTTAATTCGGAAGGCCGTGCTTAGTGGGGAACATTTCGCCGTTTTCTGCGGCTCAGCTTATAAACACGTGGGGGTAAAATTGCTTTTAGATGGAATAATTGCTTATTTGCCTTCTCCGCTTGACCGTCAACAAATTGCCATGCTTGACAACCAAGAAGAAAAAACGATTTCAACCCTCAACTATCCTCATTCTCTTGGTTTGGCTTTCAAAATTATGAACTTTCCTTTCGCTAAACTCACCTTTATTCGGGTCTATTGTGGGAAAATTTCGGCTAATTCCTATATTTACAACGTCAATAGAGACAAAAAAGAAAGAGTTAGCCGGCTAGTGCGAATGCACGCCAACAAACAAGAAGAAATAAGCGAAATAAAAATGGGTGATATTGCTGCCGTAATTGGTTTCAACCACACGAAGACCGGTGATACTTTATGTAGCAAAGAAGAAAGTATCTTTTTAGAGCAAATTAGTTTTACGGAACCAGTGATATCGTTAGCTATTGAATCCAAAACCGCCCAGGACCAAGACAAATTAATTAAAAGTTTGAAAACTTTGGGAGCCGAGGATCCCACTTTTCTTTACCATTATAACCAAGAAACCCGGCAAACGATTATTAGCGGTATGGGAGAATTGCATTTGGAAGTTTTGGTTGAAAGGTTAAAAAGTGAATTCGGGGTAGAAGTTAAAGTTGGCAAACCGCAAGTTGCTTACCGAGAAACGATTAAAAACAAAGTGGAAATTGAGTATGTTCACAAGAAACAAACAGGCGGAGCCGGGCAGTATGCCAAAATTAAACTCAGATTTGAACCTCTTCCCGAGGGTGAAGAAACTGACGAAAAAGAAGATTTCAAGTTTGATTACACCAAATTCAAGCCTGGCGGTGGTGGTGGCGGAGAAAGATTTGGGCGAGGCAATTGTTTTGTCCCGGCAATAAAAAAAGGTTTAAGGGACACACTTCTCCAGGGTCATCTTTTAGGACACCGGGTAGTCAAGGTTAAAGTTACTCTCTTAGACGGAGATTGACATCCTGTCGATTCTTCTGACATTGCTTTCCAACTGGCGGCCTATTATGCTTTTCACGAAAAAGAAAACCAAAATTTATTCCAATCTGTTTTGCTGGAACCAATTATGAAATTAGAAGTAAGCAATATTCCAGAAGACTATTACGGAACAGTTTTAGCTAGCATCACCTCCAAGCGAGGAATAATTGAAAGCGTTGAAGAAAAAAGAGAAACTTATCTTTTAAAAGCCCAAATACCCTTAGCTGAAACTTTTGGTTATTCTACCACTTTGCGTTCCTTAACCGAAGGAAGAGCCACCCATTCTCTCCAATTTTCCCATTACCAAGAAGTTCCGACACAGATTATGGAAGGACTGCTAGGAAAAGAATAACAAAACTAACAAAATTTAAAACATAAAGATAAAAAATTTTTTACTAAAGCAATGTTACTTATTATCTTTCCTAAGACCAAGAATTTTTTTGTATAAATTATCTAGTTTTTCCAAACTTTCGTCAGGATTTAGGTCAGTTGTATCAATTTTTCAACCAGTCGCTTCCGCTGCGGAAATATTAACTTGGTCTCGCTGGTCTCTTTCTTTTAAATCTTTTTCCACTTCCCCCAAAGTTAAATTTTTGCCTTCATTTTGGAGTTGAAGTTGCCTTCTTTTTGCTCGGGTTGGCAAATCAGCGGTCAAGAAAATTTTCACTTCAGCTTCGGGTAAAACTTTAAAAGTAATGTCTCTGCCGCTGACCACAAAACCTTTATTTTTGGCGAGACTTCTGATTAACTGGTAAATTATCAAGCGCAATTCTTTAATCGGTGCAAATTGGGAAGCCAAATTGCCAATTGCTGGTTGGCTCAAAATGCTTTTTTGCCTTTCTAAGCCTTGGAGGAAAATTGCCGGATTTTTCGCTGCTTCCTCTTTTTGCTGTGAGCAAATACTTATAACTTTTTCTGTTTCTCAATAATTTAGGTTGTTCTCTTGACAGAGTTTCGCAAAATAACGGTAAAATAAACCGCTGTCAATAAAACGATAGTTGATTTTTTGTGCTAAATTTTTTCCTAAGGTGGTTTTTCCCGAACCGGCCGGACCATCAATCGCAATATTAATTTCAGACATTTAACTTCTTATCTTAATTTTTAGCATTTTTCTTTGGCTCACGCAATATCTGTTTATTTACTTAAAACTTTCTCTTGACTTCGTGGCAAATTATTTCTCTAAATTTTCTTTGTTCAGAATTAACTTTACTTACCATTGACTCCGAAAATTCACTTTGGCTAAATTCTTTTATTGTATCATTCTACTACTGAAGCAAAATTAATTCCTTCAATCTCTTTTTCTAACTCTGCCATGGAAGGATAGCCGGAATAAGTAATTTCTAACTTTTCTTTGTCTAATTTCAAAAAACCAGGAGCCTTAACGTTTTGTTGAAGTTGTTGTTGAATTAATTTGTTATTCCGCATTTTTGCTTCCAAGACGATAACATCGCCGGGTTCCACTAAATAACCAGGCTTGTTTATTTTTTTTTGATTAACGAGAAAATGATACTGAGTGACCCATTTGCGAGCTCAAAGCAGGGTGCTAACTAAGCCAGAGCGAAAGATTAGATTATCCAAACGGGATACTAAATGAGTTAATACGTGTTGAGCAGTATTGCCTTCTTTCCCTTCTAGTTTAAGAAAGAGATTTTTTAGTTGCTTTTCTTTCAGACCATAAGCGAAGCGTATTCTCTGTTTTTCCCGATTTTGAGTGCCATAAAGAGAACCTTTTTTCCTTTTAATTTTCTTTTGACCATGCTGACCCGGAAGAGTGGTTCGCCTTTTACCACGACTAAATTCTTTTTTATTTCTGAGCAAAGAGAATCCTAAGGCTCGCGATTTTTTTCAAATCGGCTGTTTTTCCATATTAATAATTTTAAGCAAGAAACATGTTTTGTTTAGTTTGCCAAATTTTTTTATTTAAAAATAACTATTATGACTAAAGACGCAAAAAAATATATTGACGAAAATCTTGTGAACAAAGGAAAAATTTATTCTCTTGACCTTAGCAACCGGGATTTAGCCGAAACGGAAGAGAAAATAGACTTAAAAGAATTTGTCAACTTGACAAGAATTGATGCTTCGAATAACAAACTTACTAATTTGGATTTTTTATCTACCTTGCCCCATCCGGAAAAACTAAAATGGTTAAATGTTTGGGGTAATGAAATAAACCAAGCAGATTTTGCTTTCTTTTTTGCCAATTTTCCTAACTTAAATTCAATCAATTTAGAAAACAATCCCTTGGGAGGTGGTAATTTAAGGGAGTTAAGTTGTCAACAATTTTCCCGTTTAGTTAAATTAATTCTTGAAAAGGAACCTTTTTAATTGACCTTTTAGAATACACCGAACAATTATTAAAGCAACAGCAAAATCAAACTTCCGGGGGAGAATTAATAGCCCAACAACTCCAACAAACTCATTTATCACCTAGAGATTAATTTTATTGAAAAATTTTTTCTATTTAGAATTTTAATAAAATAACGAAAAGAGAGAAAAATTATATATATAAATATAATAAAAAAGTTATGAAAAAAATGAGGAACAAAACGGAAACATTTAAAATTCACACAATTTTTTTGCCAAGAAGGAGGAATTATTAAATATGTCAATCGACCCACGAACTAAAAAAAAGTATTGCGAAATTCTAGGAGTTTCTATTAATGCTTCAAAAAGTGAAATTAAAAGAGCTTACTTCGAGAAGTCCCGAACAGAACACCCTGACAAGCATGGCAACTCCGAAGAGGCTAAAACTAAATTTCAGCAAATTAAGAATGCTTATGAAAAATTAGATAGCAATAATTCAAATGAAATTGTATGCTTACAATGTGATAAAGTATCCAACCCATGACGTGATTGCCATAATTTTTCAACGCAATTTTGCTCAGGAGAGTGCCATGATAATTACAGAGCAAATAATAATCACGCCAATGGCAATTCATCAGAAAGAAACAGCAACCCCCCATGCTCCATGTGTCGCAATCATATTAATGGAAGTCCTTATGAAATGTGAACGGTAGAAAACAGTGCTTTTGTGTTTTGCTCCTATACGTGCTTGCCTAATTGTGCGAATTGTTTCCGAAAATGCTCTAAACGAAGCGGACATAATATAAAAATCAGCAGAAATAGAGGAATTGCTTTTTGCTCTAATAATTGCTATGAAGCATTTACGCAAAGAGAAAGTGGTCATAACCATACAAACACGCACACACACACACACACAGAGAGAGAGAGAGGAGAATGACCCTAACTCGGAAGATTATTACAGCAATCATTACAACAATTACCGCCAAGAAGCAGAAACTTGTAGCCAATGTAATAACCCAATAAGCGGTCAAGGATATACAGACGGAAGTCGGAATTTTTGTGCTTCTTGTGCTCAAAGAGCCTATGGCAAAACTTGCACCAATTGTAAAGCCCAAGGTATACCAAGAAACGATAATGGTTGGGAAAGAACAAGAAATGGCGATTGATTTTGTTCGCAAAGTTGCTGTGATGATTTTGTTCGCAAATTTCATGAAGAAGAAGAAGAAGAAAAACCAACTTGCTCGCAATGTGGTAGTTTCAATGTTCGTTATGTTCTGGAAGAGAGCGAGGAAAAGCTTTGCCGTCAATGCTTTGAGAAAATGAAAAACAATTGAGAAAATGAAAAGAAAGAGCCACCAAAAGGAGGATTTTTTGAAAATGATAGCCCTAACGGAGACCAATTTTCCCCAGTAGAAAATGAATTTACGGATAACCCTGCCTCTAAACCTTTCGAGGAAGAAAAAACTCCACAGGAGGAAGCAAAAAAACCTCAACCCGAGCAAAAATCACCCTCCCGCACAAATCCTCCAATAACCAAAATTCAAAAAAGCACTATTAACGAAATCAAGCAAGAATTAACCAACCAAGAGGAGGAATTAGATATCGACTGAACAGAAATTAATCTTTCTCCGACCAAATTAGTTGAAGAAATTCAAAAATTAGAAAACCCAGCGGATATTGAAAATTACAAAAATAATCTCAAAGAGCAAATTCAACAAAAAAGAGAACAAAAATTAATTATTATTAAAAATAATGTCATTAACACTATTAAAGAAAAGTTAAAAAACCAAAAAGGAGAATTAAATGACAAATACAAAGATTTTGAAACTCTTATTAATAGCCAAGCCAGCGTTCAGCAAATTGCCCAAATCCAAGAGGAAATTTTGGCTTCTCTTAACCAACAACAAACCCAAGCCGCAAAACTAGAAACCAAAAAAGAGAATGATTGGGGTAAAAAAATTGCTCTCGGAGCCGTGATTTTAGGAAGTTTAGCCGGAATTGGTTTAGTTATTTGAAAACTAGTGGAAAATAAACCAAGCAGAAGCAAATTAAACTAAAACTATTAATATTATGAACGACACAGAATTAAATATAGAAAGTAAGAAAAAATATCATAAAAAAAGATTTATCATTTATTTAGTGCTCTGAATTTGCTCCGAAATTATTAGTGGCATTGCTAGTGCCTTAGGGGCTTTTGCCGGTGCCGGCTTAGGAGGAGAAAGCGGTGCCATTGGCGGAGCTTTAATTTTTATGATTATTGGAGCGATTGCTTCTATTGCTTTTCTTGTTTTGTGGATTTACCATTTAGTGAAGTGAACGAGCACTAATTAATAAAGTTTAATTTGCTAAATTTTCTAATAATTGTTTTAGTTCTTGGTAATGAAAACGAGTTTTGTGGTAATCAGGAATTAGTTGGAGGATTTTCCGGAACTTTCAAAAGATGCTTTGAATGCTTAAAGACAAAAGATAAACCAAAAAAGCGTCAGAAAAATCAATTGCCGTAAAGCGATAGTAAAGAAAATAAAAAATTACGCTTAAGCCCGGAATAATTAAAATTGGCAAGTTAAAAATTATTTTGTGGAGAAAATAGAATCTATTTTGTCTTAAATTATGGTCCAGGAGCCAAAAAATTCTGGCTATTCTTTCTTGCTTTTGTTGCTTGTCCCCCTCATTTAAACTGGTTAAAGTAAGTTGAATTTGTTGACTTTCGGTGTAGGTTCGTTGCTTTTTCTCTCAGTCTTTTTGCTTCCGTAAACCAGCCGTAAGAAACGTGAAAAAAAGAAAAGCCAAAATAACGATTAAATTAAACCAGAAAACCAAAGTTTTTCGTTCTCCTCCAATACTTCTCCTGTTCAAAAAAAAGCCTAAAAAATAAGTACTAAAAGCAATAATTATCAAATTGCGAAATAATTCGCTGGAAACATTAATAAAATGAAAGGACAAGCGGGAACATGGTGAAAAATAGCGTGATTAATTTTTTCTTGGTGAACCTCAAGTGTCTCAGGAGACGATTGCGAACAGCGATAAATTATTAACTTCTTGAGATAATTTTTGCTTAAATCAACACAGTAATATTTTAAAAATAATAAGAAGTTTTCCCCCTAAGCCTCGTTAAATCACCTAGCATCCGATGACCTAATTTCGGCTTTTTTTTCACTTTTATCTATATATTAATTTTAAACCTGACCTACCAAAATTAAACCACCCTGACCTACCAAAACCACCCAAAAGAAAAATCCCACCAACCAAAAACCACCCAAAAAAACCCCAACTAAAACCAACCCATACGGGCCCCATCACACCCCCGACACTCTCTCGTCCTCTCTCGCTTGATTTTCTCGCATTCTAACGAGAACCAGAGCAATTTTGCTAAAAAGAAAATATGAACGAACCAGAAAAATTAACCCCTGCTCAAATTGCTGAAAAACAGGAAATAATAAAACAAAAATATGAAGAGGATGTCAAAGAAAAAGAACAACAAATCTTAAACCTCCAAAACAAACTTACTGATAAAGATAATGAAATCTTTGAGCTCCAAAAAACCAACCAAAACTTAGCCCAAGACCGGGACGAATGAAAAACCGAAGCCCATCGAAATCGTCGGATAGAACAAGCCAAAAAAGCCACCAAAGAACAAAACGACTTTAAAACCGAATACATTAAACTCCAAGAACAAAAAGGTTGAAAGTGAAGCGAAGAAAGGGGGTGAACTAGATAATGAACAATCCCAATCCCATCTTAGAAAACCTCCAACAAAGAGTAATCCAAGAGCAACCCGTCAAGTTAATCTATGCCGACAACGACTTTTCCGTCTTTGACAAAGGCTCGACTGAATTCTACGGCTCGGAAGACGAATTCATTTCCGACCAACCCTTAGAAGGCATCAAGTGAGCCAAAACCTTAGAAGGCAAAGACTTTAAAAAACTCCCCGCTGTCTTTTCTTGCAAACTGGGCATCCAAATGGACGAAGTCTTTTATACGGTCTTTAATAAGAAAAAAATGAAGCAAGCCCTCCAATCCCCCGCCCACCAAACTGCCCTGATTGACCGGCTCATCGACAGCATGAAAACCAAAGCTATTACCACCCTTAACAAGAAAATCGTCGCCATTATCTCTGATAAGGACAATTACAAAGACGAAGCGTGAGTGGAAATCACCCCCGAGCAAGCTACCATCGATAGCCTAGACAAAGCCATTGCCATTTTAAAACTAATCAAATCGGCCTACAACGGTATGGACGAAGTCTCCACCGCTTACAACAAGGGCTACCAAAAGCCCGGAGACACTGATTGAAACGAAGTAGAAACCAACTGTGAAACCCCTAAATCCAAAGTCCTCACTATCGACCCCGATTTCCTCGATGACCTGGAAATCCACTTTTTAGCTGACGTGGCTCGCGACAGCAACCTTAATCCTTATAAACTCTTTAAGGCAGTTATTACCAAGAAATTAGAGAACGGAGTTTTAGCCACCATTCACGACGAAAAATCCGTCTTTTACCGAATTATCAACCCGGAAGAAATCCAGCACGAGAAAACCCTCGGGGGAGGCATGGAAAAGTTTGCTTACCACGTAGAAGTAGTCGGGGGAATGATACCCTTCACCAATAGTTGAGCCTTGGTAAATAGAGGAAATTAAAGGAGGTTATGTATGATTATTATCACCCGTCAAAGAGAAGCCTTAAAAAGCCAAAAAGTCAAAAAAGACCTCCGCTCCATTCTCACTAAATGAAACTGAGGAAACACTCCCTTTCAAACTAGCCAAGAATTCTTAAATAAGTTTGCCCCCTGGGTCAACGAAAAAATCAAACTCGGAGCAGAAGTGCAAACCCTTTTAACTCGGAAAGGAGTAAGCAAATTGGAGGATATCACCTAATGAACTACCGAGAAAAGCAATTAAGGCAAATAATCAAAAAGGCTTATGTTCCCAAAGCCCAGCACCACCAATTAGCCCAAGAACACCACAATCTCCAATTTGCCCACCAACAAACACTCCTCGATGTAGACTACCAACTCCAAGTCCACACCAAGCAAGAAAATAACCAACTCAAAAAAGACCTC